TCCCCCTTCTCTATCTCTCCTCCCTGGCTCCCCCCCCCCTCTCTATCTCCTCCCTGGCTCCTCCACCTCTCTCTTACCTATAAAGCCTCTTGTCACGGCAGCCCTTTTGCCCACGTCAGCAATTGTTTATTGCTGTGGTTGTCCCACCTGATGACGGACGCTTGTGTCTGCGCCCGAAACGTCGTTGATTTAATTCATTTTATTTTATGCCTACGTGACTTTACCGAAAGAACCAAAGAGTATGCTTCAAATCGCTTTAAACTATTGTCATTGCAGTGCGTATTTAATGTGGCGCTGCACTCTGATGTTGTAGGAGAAAACATTTATTAAAAAAGTCTATTTAATTAAGTAGAACGTGTTGTCTATATTTATTTAAAGTTGCGCATTTTTTAAGTGACGTCACATTTCTCAACCCCCCCCCCCCCCTCGTCACAAATGTTTGAACCCCCCCCCCCCCCCCAGGTGCGTGATGTCATTTATGGACGGCCCCGGTTGGCGGGTTTTTCACGATACCCATTTAATATTCACCGCATTTAAACCCCCCGCCGCCAAACACCCCACCCGCCCCCCTCTATCATGGATAAGATTCGTCTCGAAAAGCCCTTACGGACCCCTCTCCAACCGGGACGTGCAAGTGGACGTCAACCACGGGCCAAATCAGCTAACCACGTTCACATTCCATTGTGGAAGCTTCAACCACGTGTTTTTGCTGCGTGAAACCCAAGAAACCTTACAATGGCTCCTCCCCCTCTTCTCCACCACGCCCCTTCCTCTCTCCTCCCCCTCCTCTCCACCCCCCCCTTCTCTCCACCCCTCCCCTTCCTCCCCCCACCCCTCCTCTCTACCGCCCCCTCCTCTCCACCCCTCCCGCCCCCGCCATTCTGACGACCCCTCCCCTACCCTTGACCCTGGCCCTCTGATTGGCCGGAATCTCGCGCGCGCCGACCCCCTACGTCATCGGGTCGCGAGGAGACGCGAGGATGGGGGGAGGTTTGAGGGGCGGTGCCAGATTACAGAGGGGAGGGGGTGACCGGAAGCGGGCACGGGGGGGGATGAGGGAAGGGAGAGGTTGGGGGAAGAGGAAGGGATGGCGCGGGGGGGGGGCGGAAGTGATGGCGGGGGATGATATAAAAAATCGAGTGCCGGATTATAAGACGCAGCGGAGGTGTCAATAAAGTTACGTGTTAAACTGTCGATAAAGTTATTACACAATCTCATCCACTCACAAGCGACAACCTCCACTTGTTTGGTGGTGACGTCACCACGGCCCTTGTACCAGGCGAGGTGCACGCTTCAACATAAATTTTCTTTGGGACTTTCGGTAAAGTCACGTTGATAGGTTCAAATTAATAAAAATAAAATAAACAATTTTATATTAATTTGAACCTATCCACGTGACTTTACAGTCACGAAAGCCTTAAGTCAAGATTCAACATACATTGTACCGAGATTACGATACGCACGCCCGATGATTTAAAGTGGAATGTTCGTTCTTTGCGCATGAGCGTGGTGGAGGGGGTGACAGCCTACAAACACGTGCGGCGTATGAGATCGACGGTTCGGGGTCATCGATTCATGGTAATCGGGTTCAGGCGAATTGATCCAGGGAAATCGGTTTAGCGTAATCGGGTTAATGGTAATCGATAAAGGGTATACGGTTCAGGCTGAGTGGTTCAAGGTAATCGGTTCAGGGTAATTTATTCATCGATTCATTTGAAGCGGGTTCAGTATATTCGACTTAGCGTAATCGATTAATGGTAATCGGTTCAGGATATTCGACGAAGGACACTCGATTAATGGTAATCGATTAATGGTGATCGGTTCAGGGTAATCGACTGAGGGTAATCAGTTCAGGCTAAGCGGTTCAGGATATTCGACTAAGGACACTCGATTAATGGTAATCGATTAATGGCGATCGGTTCAGGGTAATCGATTAAGAGTAATCGGTTCAGGGTATTCGATTTACGGTCACGTTTTACAATATGGAACCTTTCAGGAACAGTATATCAAAATAAAAGGATAGGTTTGACCCTTTCTGGCTAATATGACAAGTCTTGAATTGAAGCTTTCGTGACTGCAGTAATCCATGCTCTCTCGTTCTTTCGGTAAAGTCACGTAGGTATAATTATTTTTTTATAAAAGAACACAACGTTTCGGTCGTAACACATGCGTCCGTCATCAGGTGAGGCTCACCTGATGACGGACGCTTGTGTTGGTGAGTCTCACCTGATGAGTATGTGTCTCTATGAGTATGTGTTTATGGGTCTCTATGAGTATGTGTCTATATGAGTATGTGTCTATGGGTCTCTATGAGTATGGGTCTCTATGAGTATGTGTTTATGGGTCTCTATGAGTATGTGTCTCTGGGTCTCTATGAGTATCTGTCTATGGGTCTCTATGAGTATGGGTCTATGTGTCTCTATGAGTATGTGTTTATGGGTCTCTATGAGTATGTGTCTATGGGTCTCTATGAGTATGGGTCTCTATGAGTATCTGTCTATGGGTCTCTATGAGTATGGGTCTATGGGTCTCTATGAGTATGGGTCTATGGGTCTCTATGAGTATGGGTCTCTATGAGTATCTGTCTATGGGTCTCTGTGAGTATGGGTCTATGGGTCTCTGTGAGTGGGTCTATGGGTCTCTATGAGTATGGGTCTCTGTGAGTGGGTCTATGGGTCTTTATGAGTATGGGTCTATGGGTCTCTGTGAGTATGGGTCTCTATGAGTATGTCTCTATGAGTATGGGTCTCTATGAGTAAGGGTCTATGGGTCTCTGTGAGTATGGGTCTCTATGAGTATGTGTCTCTATGAGTATGGGTCTCTATGAGTATGTGTCTCTATGAGTATGGGTCTATGGGTCTCTATGAGCATGTGTCTCTATGAGTATGGGTCTCTATGAGTATGGGTCTCTGTGGGTCTATGGGTCTCTATGAGTATGTGTCTATGGGTCTCTATGAGCATGTGTCTCTATGAGTATGGGTCTCTGTGGGTCTATGGGTCTCTATGAGTATGTGTCTATGGGTCACTATGAGTATGCGTCTCTATGGGTATGGGTCTATGTGGGTCTCTATGAGTATGGGTCTCTGTGCGTCTATGGGTCTCTATGAGTATGTGTCTATGGTTCTCTATGAGTATGTGTCTCTGAGTATGGGTCTATGGGTCTCTATGAGTATGCGTCTCTATGAGTATGGGTCTCTGTCGGTCTATGGGTCTCTATGAGTATCGGTCTATGGGTCTGTTTGAGTATGGGTCTATGGTTCTCTGAGTATGTGTCTCTATGAGTATGAGTCTCTGTGGGTTTCTGAGTCTCTATGAGTATCTGTCTATGGGTCTCTATGAGTATTGGTCACTATGAGTATGTGTCTCTATGAGTATGGGTCTCTATGAGTATGGATCTATGTGGGTCTATGGGTCTCTATGAGTATGTGTCTATGGGTCTCTATGAGTAAGGATCTATGTGGGTCTATGGGTCTCTATGTGTATGGGTCTCTGAGTATGGGTCTCTGTGGGTCTATGGGTCTCTATGAGTATGGATATATGTGGGTCTATGGGTCTCTATGAGTATGGATCTATGTGGGTCTATGGGTCTCTGAGTATGTGTCTCTATGAGTATGGGTCTCTATGAGTATGGGTCTCTGTGGGTCTATGGGTCTCTGTGGGTCTATGGGTCTCTTTGAGTATGGGTCTATGAGTCTATTTAAGTATGGGTCACGATGAGTATGGGTCTCTGTGGGTCTATGGATCTCTATGAGTATGGGTCTCTGTGGGTCTATGGATCTCTATGAGTATGGGTCTCTGTGGGTCTATGGGTCTCTTTGAGTATGTGTCTCTATGAGTATGGGTCTCTGTGGGTCTATGGGTCTCTATGAGTATGGGTCTCTATGAGTATGGGTCTATGAGTCTCTATGAGTATGGGTCTCTATGAGTATGGGTCTCTGTGGGTCTATGGGTCTCTATGAGTATGGGTCTCTGTGGGTCTATGGGTCTCTGGGTCTCAATGAGTCTGTAGAAACACGCGTTTAGAGTATCTGGCTGCTGCTATACATTTCCACGTGGTGATCATGATGATAATAATAATAAGCCACCACTTCCTCGATCTATCATTTGTGATCGCTTCTGAAAAAAACAAGAGCAGCTCAGTGGCAGGGGAGGCTTAGACCTGGTAAAAAAATATATTTTATTATTATCAATATTTAATTAAGCCTTTTGGAAAGGGAGTGAGGATCTTTATCCAGCAGTGGACTGAGCATGTACCGTCAATTACAAAAAAACGAAGCTGTCCGTTGGGCAGGGGGGAGGGGCCGGAAGCGTGGGCGGGGGACTGGCGGGGAATGAGGGGCGGAGCTAGTGGTGGGGAAAGGGGCGGGGCTGTTCGGGGGGGAGGGGGTGGGCGAGGGGCTGTTTGGAGGGGGAGGGGCTGTCGGGGGGCGGGGACTATTTGGCGGGCGAGGGGGAGGGGCTGTTGGAAGCGAGGCGGTCTGGGCTGTCTGGGGGGGGGGGGCGGGGTTGTTTGGGGGGGGTTGAGGGCGAGGGGACTGGGCTGTTGGGGTGGGGGGGGCACTGTTTTGGGGGGGGGCTATTGGGGGGGGTGGGACTGTTGGGGGCGGGACTGTTGGGCTGGGGGCGGGGCTGTTTGGGAGGTGGGGGCGGGGTTGTTGGGGGAGCGGGAGGGGGGTAACTGGGGGGAGAGTGGGTGAGGGCGAAGGGCTGTTTGGGCGAGGGGGCGGGGGCTGTTTGGGCGAGGAGGCGGGGCCTGTTCTTTGGTGGGGGCTGACGAGGGGGGCGGGGCTGTTTGGGAGGTGGGGGCGGGGCTGTTGGGGGGAGGGGAGGGTGGATGAGGGCGAAGGGCTCTTTCGGCGAGGGGGCGGGGGCACTGTTTGGGTCTGACGAGGGGGCGGGGCTGGCGAGGGGGCGGGGCCGGCGCGTGGAGGGCTGGGCGGGGCTGGCGAGGGGGCGGGGCTGGCGCGTGGTAGGGGGGGCGGGGCTATTGGGGTGCGCGCGAGCGGCCATTGCTCGAGGGTTAGAGATCGTTACGCCACCCGCGTTAGGCCTCTCCCCCTCCCACCCCCCCCACAGTTGATCTCTCTCACCAAGGTGGCCGTCTTAACTTTGGTGACATTATCGAAGCCGCAGGAAAAAAATATTATTTTTTTTCCCTTAAGGAGACGAACGGAGGAGAAGCGTCGCGGATTGCGAGAGGGAGGAGGGAGGAAGGGGGGGGGAGAGAAGACCTCGGGTGCGAAGACTTTTTTTCTGGCGACACTTACGGACGTCTTTTCGTAGTCGCTTTAACACAAAATCGTGTCGGTTTCGGCTCCCCACCCCCCTCTCCTCCTCCTGATCCTTCCCCGTCCCCCTTCCAACTGCAAGGCACGCCGAGGGGAAAAAGGCGGACAAGACTTGGGAGGGGGGTGTGTGTGTGTGTGAGCGCGTGTGTGTGCGAGAGAAAATCGCGGATTAATTCCGACCAAAAGTGACTCTTCGCAGGGAGAGGGAGGGAAGGAGTGAAGAGAAGAAGTGAAGGGATAGGGGGGTGGGTGGGGAAATAATCGACGGAAGTGTTCGGCCACCGAGAGCAACGTTCGACGCGACAGCTGACCGGCAACGTAAACGAGCGATAACAAATTTTTTAAAAAAAAATTCGCGTTCAATCTTTGCCTGTTTTAGGGAGGCGACGAGGGGAGGAAGGGGGGAAGATAGGAAATCGAGGCCTACGCCATTTTGTGAGTACAAGCCTCTTTCTCGCACACACACATTCACACATTCACCTCACGCGAGCGTCGCTTGTCAACAATCAAATAAAACCCGCGTCTTCACACACACACACCACCACACACCCCTCAGCAGGGGATCGGCGCAACAAACTCGGGGATTGTTTTTGGGGTTTTTTTTGTTTGTAAGATGATAAAATCAACAACTTGCTGTTTGCGCGACGCGTTGGAGCGCGCGCACGGTTGCGCGCGCCTAAAAACCGCGCGCGCGGATTTTTGAGGGGAAGCTAAAAATCTCGAAACTTCTAATTTTTGTTGTTGTTGCTGCTTGCTGCTGGGGCGATAATAAACTTCTCCAACGCTACGGTTAACATTGTCGAAGCAAATATCACACCGCGAATAGCCACCTCCGCCACGGATAACCTCCTCCCTTCCCCTCCGTCGTCATCATGGATTCAATTTTTTAAAATATATATTTTTTTACCTCAGACAATTGCTGTTAAACGTTTCCGAGCCGCGTTTGGCGGGGTTTGACTTGGGGGGGATGGGTGGTTGGTGGTGGAGGCCTCTGGTTTTGGCTCACAGCGTGATGTGGGTGGCGATCGATGGTGGTGGGTTTTGTGTTGGTGGTGGTGATGTTAGAGTAACGTCGGGGGAATCGTTATTCTGTACACGAATGTTAAACCAGAGGCCAACGTCCTCGGCCTGCGTTCACATCGAGCGAACCAACAATCCACAACGTTTCAATATAAAAGACGCCCCGGGGTTGCTGGTGTACGCTATTAGGGGCGCACTGCGAAACGTCGGCCAACCCACACCACCTCCCTCCACGCAGCCGCCACCACATCCTATCACAATTTACATAACGCAGATGATTATTTCGGCCTCGTTGCGATACGCCGAGGGAGGTTTCTCGGATGGCGTGAGGAGGTGGTGGTGGTGCCACGGGTTAGCGTCCGAGTTGGATTCCCCGCTCACGAAGGACCACCATCACCACAGGGCCTGGGCCTCCTCCTCCTCCCCCCCTAGGTCGACTCGGCCTCAAGAAACGAGTGTACCTGTTTGCGAGTGTACCCGCTGGGGGAGAGACAAAGGCGGCCGGGCGTGGTGTTGTGTCACCCAATAACCTCGTGCGCGCAGTGCCGGTTCTTCGTCGGTTGCAGCTCGCTAACAGCACTTGCCCACTGCCACCACCACAACCTTCAAAAAGTCTCTTCAGGTTATACGGCGGCTTCTTTGTTTTACTTGTCGTTGAAATGCTACCCCGGGGGCCCTCCCCTAGGTCGACTGGGCCTCAAATGCAGTAACTTGATGCTGGGGTGCCGTACACACGCGCACACACTCGCAAAAAAAATATCGCCACTGGGAAGACAAAGGCGGCCGGGCGTGGTTGCTGTACCATTGTTGCCACACTCGTCCCAAACAGCTTCGGCCTTCATAGACGCTGCTCGCTTAACATCAGCACTTGCTCCGGACATTCTGGCGGAGGGAGGGATGTTTTTGTCTTTTGTATAAACAACGTGGATCCAAGTCTATGAAATGTTGCACAAAAAAAAGGTGTACATTTTATATATTTGAAACATTTGGTAGCGAAATGATGAGATGTTGGTGTATTGAGTGCGTGTAACCGCATTGATTTACCGGTGTCTGATGGACGCAGCGTGCACCGATGATGATGATTATTATTTGCATTAATGTGCGAGTTAAATGGTCACTGTGTGAGTTAAGTGGTAACTGTGTGAGTGGAGCGGTGACCGTGTTTGTGGATTGGTCACTGGGTTCAGACTGGTCACTGCTGGTGGGAGTGTTCACTTGAATTCAGTGGTTAATGTGCGAGTTAAATGGTCACTGTGTGAGTGGAGCGGTAACTGTGAGTTGAGCGGTGATCGTGCTGGTGGATTGGCCGCTGTTAAAGAGTGGTCACAGCTAGTGGAGTGGTCACTGCTAGTGAAGTGGTTACTTGAATTGAACGGTCATTGTTAGTGGAGTGGTGACTGTTGCATGGAATTGTCACTGTTGCATGGAATTGTCACTGTTGCATGGAATTGTCACTGTTGCATGGAGTGGTCACTGTTGCAGAGTAGTCACTGTTGTTGTTGCTGGGTTTGTCACTGCTAGTGGAGTGGTCACTGTGTGAGTTAAGTGGTCACTGTGTTAGTGGATTGGTCACTGTGTTTTTGCGTTGGTTACTGTTTGAGTGGTCACTGCTAGTGAACTGGCCACTGTGTTAGTGGAGTGGTGACTGTTGCAACGGAGTGGTGACTGTTGCATGGAATTGTCACTGTTAGTGGATTGGTGACTTGGTGGATTGGTCACTGTGTTAAGAGTGGAGTGGTCACGGTGAGTGAAGTGGTTACTGCTAGTGGAGTGGTCACGGTGTGTGGAGTGGTGACCGTGTTGGTGGAATTGTCACTTGCACGGAGTGGTCCACTGCGTTAGTGAATTGGTCACTGCTCGTGGAGTTGGTCACTGTTAAGAGTGGTCACTGTTAGTGGAGTGGTGATCGTGTTGGTGGAATTGTCACTTTTTGCATGGAGTGGTCACTGTTGTCAGAGTAGTGGAGTGGTCACTTTGTGGTCACCTTTTCGTTGTTCGTGCGGTGGTTAACGTGTCAGCGGAGTGGTCACTGTTGGCGGAGTGGACATCGATGGATGGAGATAACCCCATGGCTCCACAAACAAAGCCATGTCTTTCACCACGGTGGAATTGTCAATTGTTGCATGGAGTGGTCGCTGCGTTAGTGACTTGGTCACTGCTAGTGGAGTGATTGCTGTTGGTGGATTGGTCATTGTTAAAAGTGGTCACTTAGTCGAGTGGTTCTGTCTTGGTAGATCCGTCACTCTTAATATTGGTCACTGCTAGTGGAGTGGTCACTGTGTTAGTGGGAGTGGTGACTGTTAGTTGGTTGGTCACTGCGTTAGTGACTTGGTCACTGCTAGTGGAGTGATGACTGTTGGTGGGTTGGTCATTGTTAAAAGTGGTCACTTAGTGGAGTGGTTCTGTCTTGGTAGATCCGTCACTGTTAATATTGGTCACTGCTAGTGGAGTGGTCACTGTGTTAGTGGAAGTGGTGACTTAGTGGTCACCATGTCGACTGGAATGGTTACCGATGGATTGAGGTAACCGTCATTGCCTCCACAAACAAAATCCCGTGTCTCTCTGACACGAGCGCTATGTGGACAGTGGCGATAACACGCGTTTAACTGTGTGCGAGCACACGGTGACGTAGATAAACACGAGAAGGTACAATACAATTTCGATGTAAAGCTTTCGTGACTGCAGGGATTCATCTTCTTGGTTCTTTTGGTAAAGTCACCACCACGTAGAATGGAAATAAAGTAATAAAAAATAAAACATAATGAAATAAAATTCTCACGACGTTTCGGCCACAACACAAGTAGCCTTCTTCAGGTGAAGGAACAGAACTGTCGGGACGACATTTGAAGCGCTGTTCGTTCCCGACAGTTCTGTTCCTTCACCTGAAGAAGGCCACTTGTGTTGTGGCCGAAACATCGTGAGAGTTTTATTTTATTATGTTGTATTTTATTTCCATTCTACGTGACTTTACCGAAATAACCAAGAAGAAGGTACAATACAACTTTTGTTTACAATACTCCCGGGGGTGTGGGTGGGGGGTGGGGGGCCGCCCCGATTACCAAACCAATCGTGGAATGCGCCCCAACTGCGGGAGAATTCCTTCTCCGAAGCTAAGGGGTTTCAGCCTGCCATGTGCTGGTGAGAGGAAAAATGGCGATTACGTGCATAAATGAACCAGGTTTCTGTAGGTTGCTTCGAGGGGTGGAGGGTCTGTGGTCTGTGTTGTTAGCGGAGGGCAGTGCAGAACAAACCCGTTGTACGGGCAGTGCTGAATTTATGAACGCCCGTACTCAACGAGCACCCGTCACTTACGAACACCCGTCGCTTACGAACGCTCGCACTCACAAACAACACCTGTACTTACGAACAACACCCGCACTTACAAATATCCGCGCTTTCGAACGCCCGTACTTGTGAACAACACCCGCACTTAGGAACACCCCCGTTTACGAACACCCCGCGCTTACGAGCGCCTGCATTTACGAACAACACCCCCATTTACGAACACCGGCATTTACGAACAACACCCACACTTACGAACACCCCGCGCTTACGAACACCCCGCGCTTACGAGCGCCTGCATTTACGAACATCCCGTGCTTACAAACACCCGGACTTAGGATCCCACGCACTTACGAACGCCCGCGCTTACGAGAACCGGCTCCCGTTATTATTGTTTTTTTTTTTAACACCGTACTTAAAACGCGAGCTCGCACCTGCAAATTGAACCGCGGCACCATTTTGTTGTGACGGAGCGATCCTCGGCGAGATGTTAACGAGTCGGCCTCGCGCTGCGAGCGTTTGTGTGCGCGTGTGTGCGTGTGTGCGTGTGTGTGTGGCGGGCATCTCAATGCAAGTAGATTGTTGTGTTCCGACTTACGGAACGGGTCTGATTGCGCTCGTAACTCGTGGACTGCCCAAACTCTACTGTTGCTCACCAGCGTCTGTGCCCTCCCCGAAATATTCTCCCGCCTTCAGCTAGCAAACCTTCGCACTGATCAGCGTGGTGCAGTGTCACGTGGCGAATGCCGCCGTCCAGCAGCGGATAGGTGCCTCCTGGATATCCGTGAAGAAAAAAAAAGAGCTTTGTAGCTCATCGAATTCCTCCAGTATGAATCAATATTCTGATTTGAGATTGAAGGGTCCGTTGCATCTACACGTAAACGTGTGAACGCTCTTCCTTCAGATGTTAGGAAGCTACTGGAGCTTTTAAATCATCTAGATCGACAAACTAAATTTCTTCAGAGCTGCTTGTTGTTGTTGTCCCTCTCCCGCATCTCCGATGAGCACGGTTGGCCACGCACTCTCCCGCCCCGGACTGCCACATCTGTGACGAAGAGCTTTTTCGCTCATCGGATTCCTCCAGTGTAAATAACAAAAAAAAATCCTGATTCTGGTGTGGGGAGTGGTGCTCG